ATTAAAGTTAGAGTAATGACAAGTATGCCCTTAAGTGGGCGGCCAGCTAGGCAGTAACATAAAGAGATTAAACAAAAAGAAATAACAGGCCCATTAGCCAACAATAAAAGAAAAGATATTACAAGAGAAGATACTAGGACCCATTCGGCCCAGTCTCTTTACACTTAGTATTTGCCTCTACCTCCATATTGCAAAAACAAAGACAAAGTGCAACCTCTTCAAAAGAGAAACTTAGCACCAATAGAATCAATAGTACTCGTGAGTTTTTACACCTTGGTGCTTGAAGGTCTTGGGTCCACCTTCTCACAATATGTTTTAGGTGTCAACTTTCTTAGGAGATCTCTTCCCACCTGAAGACCTTTACTCTTGGTGGCTTAGAATGTGCTACATAACCTTGATTAGGAAATTTCTCAAAAAAGAAAAAAAGAAAAAAAGAAAAAACTTTGATGAGGAATTTGATTGGGAATGGGACTGTGTGACCTCTAGTTAACATATTGAAAGCATCCAACCCTGTATTAGGTGTAAGCACACTTAGTAAATCACTTCCCACCCAAAGACCTTTATCTTTGGTGGTTTTAGAATGTTCTACATTTTTTGATGAGGAAATTGATCAAGAATGGGACTGTGCGACTCTAATTCCCATTTAACATATTGGAAACATCTAATCTTATTATCTTGTTCTAGTATTGCTGGTGCACTTGCCATTAGAGGATTGAAATTATGTAGTGATAGAAGAATGGGTGCTATAATGTAGACTCTCTACCCAATTATTGGATACTGTTGTGAGTACATGGAATTAGACATCACATCACCCGCGATGAGTGGCCTACCATGCAGTCGTGCAAGCAGCCAATACTATGCATGATGAGCATATAATAGAAAAGGAATTGGTCGAGCAGTGCGTTAAAGGGATGCAGTCGTGGTATATCTCATCACAATTAAAAACCATTTTCTCCCTAGTTGTTTGCAGTTGCGGAAATGCGTTGAGCACCTTCCTAAAACAGATAGAAGACCCCAGTCACATCAGAACCAACCACCACCACAAGAACAACAATCACTCTGGCGCCAAGCGATCTATGTACTAGACAAGAGGTAGTGTACCAACAGTGGAGCTGGACGTGGACCTTACACTCAACACAGAGATGGACTGAAATACTTTTGTTAGTAAGTAGGGGCTAGCGTATGCACATGGAATTGGGCATCACATCACCCGCGATGAGTGACCTACTGTGTGGTTGTGCAAGTGGTCAATGAATGGGTAATAGTGGTGTGATAAAACATCAAGACAGTGACGTCGAGTTCCCAACACAATAAATTCCTATGAATACACTACTGCCCTTACAACTCTGGTTGCTGAACTTGTGATAATGCACCATGACATGACCTCCCAACTCATCTTCTTGATATGGCTCATGTTGCAATAATGACCTTGCAATGCGTTGTGACCTCATAATCTCGCATTGCAGAATTGTCATAGTCTTGTGGCATTGTTTTTCTTCCTGTTGCAACCTTATTCTCTAACCTCACCCCTCAGGCACTCATCACAAATTAGTGCCATGGCCTCGTCTAATAGATGTGCCTTGCAACCTTGTCGTGCATTTGTGTGTGCACCCTAGGTCCGTCATCATATGACCTCAATCAACACTTAAAAACATTTTGAAGGTGACTTCTCACCAAGTGCATGTAGTGAAGTTTCTAGAAGGGGGGGAGTAGCTGCACTTGTGCTCACATGCGGACTGTGGGAAGAAGTGGGAACTTTAGTACCAGTGTAACCGCATGGGTACATGGCGAAACCCTAGCCACTTACTGGTTCCAAATCCAACAAACTTTAGGTGTTTCCTTCTTTTCCCCAAGGGGATCTCTATAAATAGGTTATCTTCGAGGGTCCCTATGTGGATTCTTGCCTAAAAACCCTATGTAATCTTTGTCCAACTGAAACCCTAGCTTTCTCTCTCACTCTTAGCCTTCTAGAAGCCTCTCTCCACCACCATCTACCGTCTTTCAGGTAGATCACCTCTATGCCTCCCACCCCAGACCTTTAACTCTAATATCTCTTGTTAAGTAAATTAAAAAGTCCTAAATACCCTTATTTTCTACTATTTGTACTCTCTATGTAACTGAATGCCAATGTCATTGATGTCTCTTGTAATGACCTGGTCCTCATTCTCTCATTGTTTATGTAGTAGTGGTGGAAGTTGATAATCAAAAATCTAAGTATTTGAGCTATGAGCTTGGAAAGATATTTGTTTCTTGTTTGTCTTGTGTAGAGAGACTAGGCCGAATGGGCCCTAGTCCTTTAGTGTCATTCTTATTAGTTCCTTTTTGTTATGTTTTCTTATTGGGCCTTCTTATGGGCCTTTTGTTTTTGTTTTGTTTTTTAAGTGTATTGTTGATGTAGACGCCTACCTAAGGACCTCCTTGTAAATTATGTAACTTAAGTAAGTTTAATAAAAGATTAGAGTAGGGGAAAGAGGAGATTATCGAACTCCTCCTTTCTTTCTCCTTTCTTCTCCAATTTTCCTTCTTCTTGTTGTATTCCTCTTCTTCCTTCCTTCTTTCTGCTCTAAACTAAATATTTCTGCTAATCTTATTGGTCTGAATCACATCTTGGTATCAGAGCAGGTCTTCCTTCGTTTTCCTTTTTTGTTTCTTTTTTTCCCATGCACCTTTTTTTTTCTAATCAAAAGGTGTATGGAGAGATAAATTGCTGATCAGTCAGAGATTTTGCCTAGTTGGTAGAGGGTTTGGAGAGTCAGAAGTTGGCCGAATATTGCAAAGAAAGTGGGATTGCAGAATTTTTCTCGAAACCCTAGCCGACTAGAGAGTTTCCAGTTACGGGTTGAAGAGGCTGTTTGAGTGTGGCGCTCAAGGTTTGGAGCAGTTTCTTATATTTGGCTACCACATGAGCAAGCTTTTTGGCCTCTCTAGATATATATACATAGAAAGACAGGACCAGGGATCAAGAGAATCTTTTGTGTTGCTCACAGTGACAACACCAAGGATTTGGTTTGTATGACTGTCGAGTTCCAAGATTTTTCCTTCGAAGCAAAACAGCAGCCTGAATAGTCTTTAATTCGGTTTCAACAGCTCCAGCCTGAACCACAAAAAGACCTGCACCTGCAGCCATTAGAAAGGAATTAGCATTAGAGAAGCATACTATTACCATGTCTACCCAATGAAGTATTAGTTAAACTTGCATCATATTGGATCTTAACAGCAGAACTTTGGGTACTGGTAATGCATTGGGATTTGGGAAAGAATAGGCCTATGCATGGGTTAGTGAACTAGATTCCCTAAGATCCTAACTGTTGATCTGCAAGCGCCTTTGGAAATAAATTCATTTCTTAGAATCCAAGTGTAGTAAAAAGCCCTGCAGTCCATCTCAAAAATTGAATCTGTATGCTAATTGTAAGGTAACTCACTTTAGCATTATAATATATACAAGGACATGGTTTTGGTACTCTAGGAGTATCATAATCATATTATACTAGATTTTTTTTTTTTTTGTTTTAGAAACCTCTTGATAGGGTTTTCATTTTTGAACATCGGTTTGAGTCCAATGCATTTTACTGCCATTAGTTTGGCATGAAATGCCTGATTATAACTTTCATATACATCTTTTTTTTCATTTTGTTTTCTTCAATATTCATTACATTGAAGTTTTTTAGTTTATGTAATCACATTTTTGTAATAAAACATATCCATATAGTTTTTACTTTTCCTGATCAGTATATGGTTTTGTCTTTTGAAAGATTCCTGTTTATCTTAGTTGTAACCTTAATATGTGAAAGCAGAGTGGCAATGAAGAGGAGGAGCCGGAGCCAGTCCCAGAGCCAGAATACACACCTGCTGGTCGAGCTTTGAAGGAAAAGTTGTAAGTTCAGAGACTTTTATGCAGTATTAGATGTGCATGTGCTTCTTTTCAAGTTAATATCTTACACTGTACAAATTGCTGATAATTGCTTTGAACAGTGCTAGGCTCCGTGCTAGACAGAAAGAAAGGCTAGCTCAGAGGAATATAATTGATGGGTCTCGTCCAGTCGAGGAACAGGTTGGACCTGAGTCACTTCCTCCTCCCACAGCAACTGATGACAAGGAAACAGAACAACCAGTTGAACCTGTCAGAGAGAAGGCTTTAGTAATTGATTTGGAAGATTACAAATTCAATCAACCTTCAGATGTACCAAAGAGCAAGAGCGATACAAATATGAGACAGGGGAGGTTCTCAAAGCATGGTTACAAAAATATGTTGGGCAGTCTAGACCTTTCTGTTAGACCTCCTGGCTCTCTTCCTCCTGATATCTTCTTACCAAGCCATCAGTACCATAGCACAAGTTACTCAAGCTCTGTGCCTACCAGCAATCTGTTGCCAGTTCTGGGGCTCTGTGCTCCCAATGCTAATCCACCAGAATCATCACACAGGAATTCTCGTTCTTGCAATGTACCACGATCAGACTCTGGCCAGAATAGCTTAGGTTTGGGGTTTCAAGATTTTCCCTTCCGCCTAGCTCCTGGTGCTGGAAATTCAGTTAATATAGGTCTTCAAGGCCGAGAGACTGCAGCAGATACATGTACAATACCAGATGCATCAGATATTCCACAATGTCGACTCAAAAATGTCATATCAGATGGTTGCTTCCCATTTAATCAGGTATATTCTCTCTTTAAAGACTCTTGATGTTTGTTGTTTAAAGACTTCTTTAAAAACCTCCCCCGGGTTTTCTGACAATCCTATAATCCTCCCGTCTTTTGTTCATAACAAAAACCTTCCTTTTATGGTTTTGAGAAAAGGTGCAAATACCTCCCTTCCGTTAGCATTTCAGTAAAGGGGAGATGTTAAAGCTACCAAAATGCCCTTAAGGCATTATTGTTCACCATTTAAAATTTCAACTTTACCCTTTGCTACTTTACTCTGCCTGACAACTTTTAGAAGTGTAATTCTCTCTCTATTCTTCAGGTGGAGTAAGGTAAAAAGGCTGAAGTGAAATAAAGACAAGCGCATCTGTTCTTTTCAGGATAGTTTAGTAAATATACATTTGAATGAAGTTAGTCAAGGGTAAATATGGTATTTTAAAATATTTATGCATTACATCACTACTTTTTGTCTGGAAAGTTAACGGAAGGGAGGTATTTGCACCTTTTTTTTTTCAAAACTATAGAGGAGGTTTTTGTTAGGGTCAAAACATGGGAGGTTTATAGGATTGCCAGAAAACCCAGGGGAGTTTTTTTTTTAAAGTAATTTTTCATATGGTAAAATTTTTAGGTTGATACATGGTAAACCTTTCCATTTTAATGTTTTATCATTCCTTTTGTGACCGATCTGCAGTATCCTCCCTCGACAAGCCAAGGAAGAGGTCTTGATCCTCTAGACAATTCAGATGCTGCTTTCTCTGCTTTCCAGGAAAAAATGGCAGCACCTAAGTTAGCACATGATGATAACCAGTTATCCAAATTCTCTCATTCGGCTAAAACTGTATCCAAACCCCTTCCAGATTTCTTACCAAGCTTATCCTTGAGCACAAGAGCTGAACCTGCAAATGACTCTGTTCAGGATTTTTCCACAATGCCATTGTTACCAAATTTCAGATTGGCACCGCAAGATATGCCAAAACATACTTTGGTGAGGGACATGCCACCCACATTGGGCTTGGGTCAAATGCAGACCACATATCCATCGTTACCTGAGAACCATAAGAAAGTTCTGGATAACATAATGATGAGGACTGGGTCTGGATCAAATATGTTCAGGAAAAGATTAAAGGTTGATGCTTGGTGTGAAGATGAACTTGATGCTCTCTGGATTGGTGTTCGTAGGCACGGAAGAGGTAATTGGGATGCCATGCTTCGAGACCCCAAGCTAAAGTTCTCCAAGCACAGAACTTCTGAAGACCTTTCTTTAAGGTGGGAGGAGGAACAACTCAAGATTTTTGATGGAGCTACATACACCACAACAAAATCAACAAAGTCTACCTCGTTTCCTGGCATTTCTGATGGAATGATGGCACGCGCATTGCACGGAAGTAGATTTTCTGGTCTTGGGACAGACCACTGCCCACCCCCTAAGTTTCGAACCCATCTGACTGACATGCAACTGGGTTATGGGGACCTAACACCAACCCTGCCACATGTTGAGCCTTCCGATCATTTTGGTTTTCCAAATGAGCACTACACACCTTTTCCATCACGGAATTCTGATAGGTTTTGGCCTAATTTCTCTGGGGATTTAAATGCTGGTCCCTCAGATAGACAAGGGACTTCTTCAAACTTACACCTGGAACAGCCATTTTTGCACAGTTCATTGGTAAGCAGTAGCTTGGGTTCATTAGGGGTGAATTACCCAAGCAGCTGTGATTTGCAGAAAAAGGAAGAACAGTTTGCAAGCAAGTATGCCAAACTGCCCAGTCTTTTGAACAAATCTCTAAATTTCCTACGTGATTGCCATAATAACTTGCGCGGTGGTGAGTCCACCAGCTCTGGGTTGCAGCCAGACCCCAATAAACGGCTGCACTATGGTCATTCTCCAGCAAAGGATGATGTAGCTGGAAGCAGTTCCACAACAAGCAAACTTCCTCATTGGCTTCGGGAAGCCGTAAATGCTCCTGCAAAACCTCCAGAACCTGAACTGCCTCCTACTGTCTCGGCAATAGCTCATTCTGTTCGCTTGCTTTATGGTGAAGAGAAGCCAACGTTTCCTCCATTTACAGTCCCAGGTCCACCTCCTTTCCAACCGAAGGATCCGAGGAAGAGCCTGAAGAAGAAGAAACGGAGGTTGCGTAAGCTCAGGCGAGTGACTCCAGACATCATAGCAGAATCCAGCAAAAACTTTCAAAACAACATGTTTGGTGAAAATGTTGCTTCAAGCTCCATTTCACTGGCACCACCATTGCCCTTGCTGCCACAATCAACAAGCAGTGCATCAGGGTTCCCTTGGATTGAGCCCAATCTCAACATGTCCTCTTTAAATCTAAATCTGACATGTTCACCATCATCATCAGTGTACATAAATCACCGAAAGAAACTGGCTGCAGGATTGTCCCCCTCACCTGAAGTCCTCCATTTAGTTGCATCATGTGTTGCTCCAGGGCCTCATATGTCATCGGCGCCTGGCAGTGAAAGCTCTAGCATCCCAAGGAATGAGCTGCCCTTCACCAATATTCGGGAATCAGTCGTCCAGGATGACAGCCCAAGCTTGAAGGGTGCATTCAACAAACGGAAGGCTGGGCAGAGCCCATTATCACATATTTGGAGTCAGGATCCCAAGGAGAGAAGGGAACGGACTGAAAGTGGGGACTCCAGCAAGACACAGTCAGACCCTTGTAACATTGACAGGCCTGAAGTAGAGGAAATATCTTCTGAAGAGACTGTATCAGATGATCATGGGAGTGAACATGAGCCATAGCCGTTCCTCATTGCACGCCAAGCTTCAGAGCCCTTGAGCAGGAGGGCTCTTGTTTTTTGTAAGCATGATTCATTTGAGTGTTTACTAGCGATGATAGGATCATTTAGGACATCTCGTGTAAAGCTTTTGTAAGAGAAAAGAAATATATAGCATCATCCCCTTGTTGGTATCCTTCCGTTTCTGTATGCAACTTGGTAATATAAAATCTTTGATCAGCATTAAACAACAATGACCCAAATCGCCAGATGGATTTTGATGCTCAAACAAACTGTTACTCGGACTTAGTTCACTACAACCTGGTTCCGAGTGGCCACTGCTCAGACCTACTCTTTAAATTCTCAACCTTCAGGATCTTAAAATTGGGTACACTTCATTGGAGCTAAACTTAGTCTAAATAACAAGTCCTAAGCCTTGTCTCAACAAGATGGGGTCAGTTACATGAATGATGAATGTTTAGTATCATATCCTTACTTCCATTCCACTGCTCAAATCAGAATCAGCTTGTAAAGCTTGAATAATGTAGGATGGTGCACAAGACCAAGTGGAATTTCTATTGTTAAAATATGAGGAGGATTTGGATCATTTCTTACTATTTCTATTCTCTCCATGTTCCTTTTGGTCAACCCTAGTCCTTGTAGCCCCTTCGAGTCTCAACTTGGTTTAAATAATATATCATCATTTAAGCCTTATCCCAACTAGAAGAGATAAGCTATATGGATCCTATTTCGCCATTCCATTCCATAAACAGTTAAATCATTTTATAATACTTAAATCCATGTTGCTTTTGGTCAACCCTAAGTCCTTATGGCCCAATCAACTTGTTCTAAATAATAAATATGATCCATGAAATTGTTTATTGGGGGCCAATTTCCTTGGTCACATGAACTCACAGTAAATTCATTTTGGCATGATATTCCTCCCACCGCCATTGTATGTATATTTTGTTTTGTTTGAGCAATACAACCAGCAGTATCTGAAAGTCCTCCAGGAAGCACGTGTAAATGGTTAGGAGTTAGGGCTTCACACTTGGTTGTTGGGTTCTATATATTTCAGAAGAAGTAATCCCCCGTTTGGGAGTGCTTATTTTTTAATTTTAGGCCAGGACCACATATTTAAGCACTTATATGCATTTTTTGGAAAGGTACCTATTGCATTTCTGACTTGTCTTGGCCTGTCACTTAATTTTTAAAATGCTTATATTATCCTGTTTAAAATAAGCACTTTTTCACCAAACATTCATAAGCGCTTATTAGGATAAACACTTATTTATTGAATAAGCAGACCCAAACAGGGGATAAATCAAATTTCCAAATGGTACACAAACATGTACTAATAGTTCATAGGTTTTGACATGCTCGAAGACCACACGGTTTCACTAGTACATGGTACATACTGAGCTGAGCCAGGCTAAAGAATTGGTATCAAGTAAAGTAACGGAGTACATTGAGGGCCCATTTCGTTTCCAGGAGTAGGGGTATCCATTCCAATTCCAACTGTTTGGTTGGTCAGAATTGAAATCCCATTTCCATTCCTGGTGGAATGGCATCTCCCCATTTGAGGGTATGGTCATTCATTTCCTCTCCCTTAGGAATTAAATTTCATTCCAACTGATTCCAATTTTGATTTTGATTCCTGTCTGAACCAGATGAAGAAATAGATCATTCTGATTCTAATTCTAAGACATTTTGATTCTGATTGCAACTGACGGACCCTAAACTCTTAAAATATTTCATCAATTTCAAAATTCAAGTGATGACTGAATGGCTTATTGCTTTGTCTATTAGTGAATAAGTTTTAAGGAGATTATTAGTTCCTTAATAGCTGTAGAGCTGTAGCTGAAGTCGACTTGATTACTATAGTCTCAAATAATTTATTGTTTACTTAGGGGTGTTTAACAGAGCAATAAGCCATGCATTTCAGACATTTCAGCGGTGTTTGGCATCGATGCTGTTGTCCCAGAAAATGGCTCCACGCTGGCACCACATCAGAATAATGGTGTGCCAAGAAACACAGGCTTGCTTGGTACAGCTGTTCCAGAAAACGACAACGCCTTAGAATTTGGGAAAGCATGGCCTGGGAAAACGTCAAAATTGGTGTTTTCTCATTTTTGGAACTGTTGCTAGACGGTATCATGATGTGACACTAATGTGGCATTAGATAATGCGAATCAATACTGAAAAAGGAGCCAAATGAAAAAGAACCACTGAATAATGTGGATCAATCCTATGTATCAGCAATGATGCCAAACAAAAAAGGAACCGTTTTCTCGTAAAGCGGTGCAACAGACCCTCATCCATACAGCACCATTTTCTCAAAAAGGCTATGAAGCAACGGCATCGATGTCAAGCACCAACTTCATCTATTGTTACAAGGTCCATCTATATATAAAGTTCAAAATATCACAAGGTATATTTCATATTATATACCTCATCAATTTGAACCCACCGAAACACCATTAAAAGGGATTAAAGAGAGTTTATAGGTTTAATCATTACTACCTCTCTTGTCCTAACTGATTCTTAAATGACAGCTTGAAAAATTATAAAAAACAAATAAAGTATCATAATCATTAAATCTAAGATCCATTTTCTTTTTCTTTCTTTCTTTCTTCTTCTTCTTTTCTTTTCTTTTTTTTTTCTTTTTTTTTTGCATTGAATACGTTGACTATAAAACATTTATCAAATTGATGGATTCCAAATGGTCAAGATGTTTAAAAATGCATGAGAAATATAGCACTTAATAGTGGTGGTAGATATGAAATACCATGTTGCAGTGTGATGGACACACCATCCATAAACCTTCAGTAAGGAAGACAAGGGAAGTTTTATACTTTTATTTGTTTGTGCGTCTCACAGTTCAGAAGAAGAGAAGGCTTGAAGAGGGTATTACTGATTACTGAATTTAACATCTTCCTATAAAATTATGGATATGAGTTAATTAAGAAGATTTCAATGTCAGGTTTTATAGGATCATTGTAAGGTTGATTATCCTTAACAAATCTAAAATACACTCACAATATCTGCAAGAGAAATGAATGATGGATAAGCCTAAGATTTGCTTGACTTTGCTATTGTTGCTAGACTCGGATCAGACTGGACGGTTTTTTAACTTTTAAATCATTTTCTTAACAAGGTTAGTGGTCCAACTAGATGGCCGGACCATTTGATTTTTGGAAAATATTTAAGAATATTTTTATTAAAAAAGAGTGGGATTCCTAAACATCTGTGTATTAAAACCCTAAAAAATACGATACAATATGTCATATCGAAATTTTAAATGTTGCACATGACCCAATGGTCAAAACAGTAATACACCTGATCCAAGTGTAACAACATTGCCGAAAAGTACTAGTTGGTTGGGGAATTGGGTGTCTCCATGGTTTGAGGCAGGTCATAAATCATAACTAACTTTATCCAGCTCTAGGCCACAGGTTGGAGCTCTCACAAGGCCATGAAAACCCAATGTTTCTCCACTCTACATGGTTCTTAGGCTATAAACTGGATGGTCAGACAATTTCACTGTGGTCTGTGGGATCCCTCATGTCCATTATTGGCTTGAAGCAAAAAAATTAAAAAAAAAATAGAGAATAAAACAAATCTTTAGCTTTTTCAAATTTTTAAGTAAATCAATGATGAACAAAGAGAATCTGTATGAGCATTTGTTTGATAATCACACAAAGATCCGTTTGGTTCGTGGGAATAGGGGTCTGGAATCAGAGTGGTCCATTATGATTTCAATCAGTTGATTGGGTGAAATCGGATATCAGAATCCGGTTTCCACTCCTAGTGGAATGCGTTCTTGCATTTGAGGGAATGACCATTCCCTCCCCTCCCTTGAAAATGTAAATCCAAATATGAATCCATTTCAGCTGATTCTGACTCTGATTCTAATGCTGATTTCTACTGTGAACCAAACAAATCCTAATAATGTTTTAAATTACTTATTTTAAAATTTACAACCAATATAGGTGACAAATATGAGCATTTTCAAACAGGCTCTGGCTCTGGCTTTGGCCATTTAAATCAGTGTGAACAGATTTAAACTGGACTGGATGGTGACCTGCACAGTATTATGCAGGGGGAGATATTCCCGATTCACAGGGATAGTGTGTTATGAGTAGACATGGGCAGAGTTTTCATGGACAGGAAATCCCGCATTTTTTGTTTATGAATCCCAATTAAAGAATGACGGTTTTCATGATTTCAGCTTTGGACAAGCTAACCATCTAGTTAACCAATAAAACCGTGACCCGTGAGCATTCCGGTTTCCTGTCCGGTCCAACCACATTGGTTTGCACTCTTCCATTTGATTGATTCCCCACAATGTGTTCTCCACATTGCTAATAATATTTCAAGGTACAAATAGGATAACATGACTAACTGATCCTCTGATTTTCACCCTTATTTCATTCCATCTCAACTCTTTACAGTATTACAGCACCTTAAATTTAAATTTATCAGTAACCCTAGCCACTGGAAAATTAAGGATTTTCTTTTGCCACATGGCTGATGACCTTTTGTATCTCATCAAGATAGGGTGGTGCAGATCTGCACATGCACCCAACAAACTTAAAACTTCAACATACAACATTAATTATTTTATTTTTCAGTCAATTAGATCTCTCTCTTTCTCTCTCTGTGCTAAATGGTTATTTCTTCTTTCCCTTTTAATAAGTTTATTAACATGTGAAGAAAACCAATCACCATGCAAAATGTTGATGAAAAACCCAGCAGAAGGCGTGATTGAAGGTGGACTAAATGGATTCAATGGACACAAAAATGAAAAGATGCCAGCACACAATCTGGCGAGCTGAGGCCCCCCTCCAGAGTCCAGAGACCCTTTTGTGTATCTGTGTGCTCATGTGGGTGTGCCCCAACAGCGTAGACAAACATGACATGGTGGCTCACCTTTACTCCCAAACTATTAGCAAGTGCTGAACCCCAAGTCAACACCCACCACATGTCCATGTTCAATCTCTGGTTCTCTGCTTGAGAAACGAGATCAAGTTGTATTTAAAATTAAATGGCGTGAATCTCAAAGCATATCACAGCTTCCAACCCTCTCAACACTACAGTGATAGACACTCAGCACCTCTTGATTCGTACAAATATCATATGACCCACCATTCACGTGGGTCCCACGGATGAGCACAGTCACCAGTCTGATCATACATTCATCATCCATAGACTTCATTTCCTCAACTACATCATATTGCCATGCATACTCCAT